CAATTACGATTTGCCGAGGGACTACGAGCAGGGCGAAAACCCGTGCCTCCTGGAGCTCCGAGAACTGGACCTCGAGCTCACCGACGAGCAGAATGACATGCTCAAAACGCCAGAAGAGCGGATCAAGGATATCAAGTTCCCGCGCGCCCTCGAGAACAGGATCAAGCTGAAACGGACAGCTCAGGGCAAGAGCAGATGGGCGCCCAAGTTCGCGGGCCACTTCTGGGGCAAGTACGCGCGCAAGTGGCATCGCGAGAAGGCCACGGCTGGCGGCGAGGTTTCGCTCGAGCACCTGAGCCGAGGCGCGGCCGAGGCGATGCTGGCAGGCAGGCCGCAACAGGCGCGCGCTAGCTTCTTCGAGCAGTTCGTGTAGAAGAGCAAGCGGAGAAGAACGCCAAGCGGAAAACTAACGCCAAGAAGAAAGCAGGCCTCGATGCTTGCGAGGGGCCCCCATTGGCACGGCAAGGCGGCTTGTGTCGCCGAGGAGGGCGTCCGCGAGGGCAGGCGCGGCAGAGCGCGGGGCGACTGCCGAGTCCCGGGCACCGAGGGCGCGTGCCGACTGCGCACCCTCGAGGCGGAGACCGCGGCGAGGTTCTCCGGCACTCTTTAGCTTCCGCCTGTCTCCTACTGGGGCGGCGGAAGCAAGCGGGGGCTAGCGGAAACGGCGGAAGCGACGGCGGAAGTCGGCGGGCAGCTGGCGGAAGCAGGCGGAAGCAACGCGCAGCGGAATCAGGCGGATGCTAGTGAGTGCTTCTGAATCCCGAGCGCCGCAGGTCACGAGCGGGGAGGGCTGCAAGTTCCCCGAGCCGCGCGCGCTCGACTGGCGCCAGACCAGACAGGCTTGCCGCACCGGGCTCGCCAGGGAGTGCGCGATCATGAACTGCGAGCAGATCGTCTAGGGCGACGCCCTCAAGCTGGGCACAGTGCGCGCGCTGCTGGGCGAGATCGAGGAGCGCGCGGGCGCCCCCGAGACCGCGGTGGCGGCCGAGCCCGCGGCGGCCGTCCCGGGATCGAGAGGGCCAGGGCGAGGGCGAACCCGCCGCCCAGGGGCGCTTGGCCGAGAGGGTCAAGAAGGCCCAGCACGTGCTGGTCTGCGTGCGCTCCTCCAGGTCGGCGGTTGCCTCAATTCCCTCTGGCCCAAGGTGCCTCCAGTTTTTGCTCCGTTTTGGGGCGTATCTTGGAGGCGCCCCGGGCAGGGGGCGCTTGTGCCAACGCCCGCCAAGGTGTCGAGGATCGGCGGGGGCGTCGCGGCGCAGCGCCGCGACGCCCTCGAGCAGCCGTCCGAGAACGCCGAGCTTACCCAGAGGGGCCACGTGCGCACTCACACCTGCACCCCGCGATTTCTGAGAGGGAAGGTAGGATTGCTCGGGGGCTGCCGAGCGAAATGAACCCCGCCCTCCCTTTCTGAAGTCGCGGGTAGGGCTCGCGCGTGGCCCCCCGAGGCCGCCGCGGGGGTCCTCCGAAAGCTCGGCGCCATTGGCCCTGGCGAGAGCTGCCCTGCGCCGAGCAAAGAGCGCGCCCTGCGCGAGATCCGAGGCGAGGGCCGCCAAACGCCCGCGAGCCTCAACGCGATGCGCGCCCGAGGCAGCGAGTGGATCGACAAGCCCGAGGAGGCCGGCGACAACGATTTGGCGACGGCCAAGGCCGAGGCCAAGGCCAAGCACGCGTCCGAACCCTGCCGGGGCCCCACGGCGGCCATGGAAACAATCGCTGCCGCCCAGCTTTGCACCTTGTGTCTCCCATGCAGGGACGGCTCCAAAGGATGCCGTGCTTGCGTGGGGGAATGGTGGTTCGAAGTCCATCGCAAGAGAGGTTTCTTGGCCAGAACGGCCAGGGGCTTCTCTTGCGCTGTCAAATTGTCGGCGCGAGCCTCGAGGTCTCTCGGGTCGGTCTTGCACCGAGCGCCTGCTGGCAAGTTGTATAGCCACGAGCCCCGAGATCTCTTCAGTCAGTCTTGTGCCGGCAGCTTGCTGGCAAGTTGCGTTGCCGCGAGCCTCGAGATCTCTCGAGTCAGTCTTGTGCCGAGCGTTTGCTGGCAAGTTGTGTCACCGCGAGCCTCGAGATCTCTCGAGTCAGTCTTGCGCCGAGCGCCCGGGATAACCATCATCATGATCATCGCCACCATCATCATAACTTACTTTCACTGGGGAAATCAATTATTTTCCCCGCCATGCCCCCGGACATTTGCACCCCCGATGATTATTTTCGCCCGCGCAGGGTTATGCATCGTCTCGCGTTGTCCTCATTCTCCCCTTATCCTAACCCATCTCCGCCTCCTCCTCCTCCTCCGCCTCCTCCTCGTTGCTCCTCTTCCTCCTCCTCCTCCTCCCATTTTTGTTGCTGCCTTTTACGTGTATTCATCAGCATCAGCATCAGCACCAACGCCGTCATCGTCATCATCCTCTTCGCCATCTTCTCACACGCTCCGTGGCCCCATAGGAAGCTGCACCGAAGGCCCCAGGGCTCGCAGGCGTGAGCCCGCCCTTTTTGGGAACACCCCTGACATGCTTCGTGGCACCATGGGCAGCTCCAGCGAAGGCCTCAGTGGTAGGGTCCGCATGCGGTTCTCCACCCACTTTGGCACACCCTTCACACGTTTCGTGGCTCCGCCGAGGGCTCTTCCGAACGCTTCAGTGACAGGGCTCGCATTTGTGACCCCGCCTTATTTTGGCACTCCCCACACTCGGCTCGTGGCCCTTTGATTTCCACCGAAGTTCCCAGTGACAAGGCTCGCGTGCAGTTCCGCGTTGTGTTGCCACACCCCTCACGCGCGTCAGAGCGAGTTCCACCTGAGGTATCAGTTGGAACTTTTGCGTGCGGTTCCCCACCCATTTCAGCACACCCCGAACACGTTGCGTGGCCCCACAGGGAGCTCTTCCGAAGGTCTCATTCGCAGGCCTCGCATGGGTGACCCCGCCCGTTTTGGCCCACCCTTCACACGTCTCCTGGCTCCTTGCGGGAGCTTCACTGGGGGCCCCAGTGGCAAGGCTCGGATGCGTGACCGCGCCCAGATTTGGCACACCCCTCGCACGTTTTCGTGGCCCCGTACTGAGCTCCACCGAGGGACCCAGTTGCAGGGCTCGCATGCGTGACCCCGGAGTACAGACGGCAGACCACGAGCAGATTATACACGGCGGCTGGGAAAAGCAATCGGGATATGTTAAATTTTATGTCTTGTTTGGAGTCACGCCAACCTGACCAGAAAGCGGAAAACACCAAAACTGGATCCGTGTGTTTTCTCAAAGTTGATATATGGGTTCGAGTCCAGGGATCGGATAGGCGGCTTCCAAGCTAGATGCCTATGACGAATGTTCAAAACTTTCTCGTGTTGTTCCCTTCCTCTCCTCCTTCCCCCTCCCCCTCCCCTGTGGAGACTGTCGCTGGCAGCTTGCCGAACAGCGGATCACCAGGTACAGTGACTGCTGGTGATTACATTCCGTTCCTCCTGCATGGCGTATTTGTTGTTGAGTGTCGTTTCCTGTATGTACGAGTTAGCAGTGCAGTTTCGTGCGTGTGTGTGCTCACACACTTCCTGGCTCCATACGGAGCTCCACCGAAGGCCACAGTTGCAGGCTCTCATGCGCGACGGCCCTAGTGGGAGGGCTCGCATGTACAACCCCGCCCATTTCGGCACACGTCCCACATGCTTCATTCGCTTCATAAGGAGATCCACTGAAGGCCTCATTGGCACGGCTGGCATGCTTGGCGGCGCCCGTTTGGGCATACCCCTAGAACGCTTCGTAGCCCCATCGGGTCCTTCACCCGAGTCTTCATTGACAGGGTTCGCATGTGTGACGCAGGCAATTTTGGCCAACCTCTCACCCGCTTCGTGGCCCCGTATGGAGTTCCAGCGAAGGCCCCGGTGGCAGGGCTCGCGTGCGGTTCCCCGCCCATCTCTGGCACACCCCTCACACGGTCCGTGGCCACGGAGCGAGCTGCACTTGAGGCCCGAGTGATATGGCTCGCATGCGGTTCCCCGCCCATTTTTCACGATTGACATGTGCCGTGGCCCCAGAGCGATCACCACCGAAGGCCCCGGTGGGGACGTTCGCATGCGGTTCCCCGACCACGTCGGCACACCCCTAGCGCGCTCCGTAGCCCCGTAGGGAGCTCAACCTCAGCTTGTGGCGACGTTCGCATGCGGTCTCCCGTCCATTTCAGCACACCCTCACGCGTTTCGTGTCCCTTGAGGGAGCTCCACCGAAGGCCCCAGTGGGTGCGGCCACGTGCGGCTCCCCGCTCACTTCGGTATTCTTCTGGCACGCTTCGTGGGTCCATGATGAGCTCCACCGAATGCCCCAGTGGCTGCGGCCACATGCGGTTCCCGACCCAATTCGGCACACCCCTCACGCGCGTCGTGGTTCCATCGGGAGCTCCACTGCAGTCGATACTCACAACTGTGGTACTCACGACTGCTCATGGTCGGGTCTTTCGCCAGGCTAATATTGATAGGCTACCACGGGATCTGCTTGTGCCGCCTCGGGGTTTTGTTGGGCCAGTTCGCTGCCTTGGTGGCCTTGCTGGGTTTCCTTGAAAGCCATTGAGCGCCTCGGAGATCGCCAACGATGCTTCGAGACATGCGGGTAGCCACAGGAGGGGGTGGTGGTTGGTGCGACGGACTCACCAGCGGGAGGCTTTGGACAACTTCCGTGCAGAAAGCTTGTTGGGTAGCAGTTGATCCTTTGAGGGGCACGTCTGCTGCTGCTGCTGAAAGCTTGCAGCTGAAAGCCTGCTCACGTCTCAGGGCACGGTTGTGAGTCGCCCCGTCTCCGCGGCCGCAATTTGAACGAATGGATAAGGATGTATCAATCAAGAGGGGACGACGATTTCGATGCCGTAGCCCGCGACGTCACCACTCTCAGCCCCCACAACCTCGACCTCTTCAGCACCCTCCCAGTGTTCCATTTGCGCATGTGCCATATCATTCCGCCCTGAGTATCGCATCGCAACCCTGGGCAATGCCTCCTCTTTCCCATTTCTTCTTGACCGCAAAATCGCAGCCACTTAGGCTTCAGGCAGCTGTTGGATCAGGGGCGAATCTGCCGAATGACGCCGCTGCTTGGTCCTTCGTGCAGATAGTAGACTGGCCCGCCACATTGGACACCGAGTCCGCCAGAAATTTTTCGTTGAGCCAGAAACGCTCACATACTTCAGTTCACATGGGGCAAGCTCAAGGCTTAAGCAAATTCGGATGCTGCGGACCTGAGAGGAAGCCTGAGCCTGTTACGCTAAACATCTACGATTTACACGGCAAGGGACGAGGCATATTCAAGGGCATGAACGTTCTCCTTCGCGCTGCAGGCACTGGCGCATTCCACGTCGGTTTGGAGGTATTCGGCCAGGAGTACAGCTTCGGGTACCGCGAAGGCAGCGGGACTGGAGTGTTCAGCCACGCTCCACGGGAAAGTGAGATCCACTCTTTTCGCGAGTCGATTTTCATGGGCGATACGGACCTCACGCAGTACGAGGTGGAAAAGCTCATGAAGAGGATGAAGGCTCGTTGGCTAGCCAGCAGCTATGAAACATTATCCCGAAACTGTTGCCATTTCTGTGACGAGTTGTGCTTGGAGCTCCGCGTCGGTCGGCCATCTTTCGTACCTTTGCCAGAGTGGCTGAACAGCCTCACTGCCGCCGGCAACGCCTGGGGCGGCTCTGGCCAACAGGATGACAACGCCTCGGAGGTGCACAAGTTTCATGCCTTGGAGCACAGCGCAGAGAAGTCATCCAGAAAGCGTCCCGCTCCAGTCGAGGTTACGCCAGAACCGATTGAGTCAGAGGGTCAAGAGCGTACTACATCGAGACAGTCCAAAACAAATGCAGGGCTGACCATCTCAATCGACCTGAGGTGGTAACAGTTCAAAGCAAGAGCGTCGCCGTCAAGACGACCGAGTCGCCTACCAGGACTTGCCACACCAGTGCGGTGGAGTGAGCACTGTACTTTACCTCTGGTCTTGCAAGTGCCGGACGTCCTTGCGAGGGCAATGACGACCGACGAGCTCGACCCAGCCTCTGTCTTGGGCGCGGCCAGCTTCCTTGAGCGCAGCGCTACGACCCCGACCCCGCGGGCCTTTGAGGCCTGGAGTGATCAACCTTCACGTAGAGGACGGTCGTCATACGCCCACAGTGCACAGTTCCAGGCCAGGCCATGACGGCAAACACCGAGTTCACCCGCAGGGGCACGAAGATGACCGTTTGTCCCACTTCGCGGCACAGGCCGCAGAGTTGTTTTTCTCCAGTGGGCGGCGCGAGAGCGCGAAGATGATCGCGCGTCGCGCGACTCGCGCTGTTTGATTCGCAAAGTCAGGTGACCCAGGTATTCACCAGTCCTTTCCAGGCCAATGCCCTGTCCGAAGGCCAGTGTACATGCATTCCTGGTCAGGCCAGGAGGGCGTATGACCTGGTCCGTGGCCCAGGACGGGCCAATATCAGTCCGGCTACCTAAACCCTTCCTGGGGCCCACCCAAGGAAGTTAAGCCGCGTGCAGCCGTAGCGCCGTAGCCGGGAGGACTATCCGAGTGGTCACATCCCCAGAAAAACGAATTAAGTCAACATGTGAAGGTTGAACCACCTTTTTGGCGCTCCGCCAACTGGTTCTCGCCAGGGCCGGTGCAGTGTGAATTTGGCATCCTCCTGTTTGATCTCGGCGGTCGCTCGCGCGGGCGCGGCCAGCGGCCAGAGCGGAGAGGCGCGCAAGGGGCGCACCTTGACACTTGCGGACCGCCGTCCGCCCCGCGGGATTTTTATCTCCAAAGCCTTTCAGCTATCTGCGAGGTTGTCAGCTGCCCGGGCCTCTGGCGTCGCGAGAGTTGTTCTGCTGATGCATTCGATCCCTCAGCGCTTCCCAGGTTCGCGACATGGCTCGTCGTCCCTTTGGTCCTTCTGGGAGCCCGTGTTGGCCACGGCTGGACGCAGTTCGAACGACCAGTCAGGATGGTGTTCCGCGAGGGGCCTGGGTTCCGAAAGGGGGTCGGGCTTGCCCAAACCTTCTGCGTCGCGTATTTCGTTGATGTCTTGTCGTGAAGTCCTCTACCTAGATCCAGCCCCAGGGTTGGAGCCGAGACCCAAGCGGGAAAGCCATGGTGTCAGAGGTTTTCGTGTACACTTGCACCAGTCTTGGCCAATCCACTCCAGTCCTCGGCCCAGGGTCGGCGTCCACGACCTCCAGGCATGGACGGGGAGGCGTATGCTTAGGTCGGGCACGTCCCTTTACAGGAGGAAAATTCAAACATAGTCAAACAATAATATGGGGACGGTTTTTGTTTTGGTTTGGTGTTTGTTTGCATTTAAGCTGGTTTTTAATGTTTCGTCCAACATCCGCCTGTATGGGGGACATGCCCGACCTAAGCGTATGCACCAGTGCTAGGCGCAGGGATTGGCTTGGTTAGCCTGGACTGGTGCCAGTGTGGCAGCTGCCGCCCTCGTGCCGTCACAGGATCTTGCGCGCTTCAGGACTCTGCGCGCGTTCGCGGCACGTCTGCCAGGCCGCTCGCACTTCGGAAAACACAGCATGGTGCTTTCTCACAGTTGGATCCTTGGGCCGCTCGTCCTTTCACCACCAACGCGATCATCGACGGAGGAGCTGGGAAGCATCATGATAGTGTGGTAGCGGAGGAAGGAGGAGGAAGATAATATGGGAGAGGGTGATTCCAATGAGCATGAGGGACATGAATGGGGGCGAGGGGGATGAGGGAGATATAGTAGTGTGTAGAGTAGAGAGGATTTCGAAGATGGGTGAGTAGAATGGATTGGAGGAGGAAGACAAGGAGGATGAGGAAGGATGATGGAGAAAGAGAAACAGAGGAAGGCATAGAGGTATGAGGAGGTGAACGGAGGAGGAGGAGGAAAAGGAGGAGGAGGAGGAGGAGGTGGAGTGAGCAGGAGGACTGACGAGAGGGCGGAGGACATTGACATAGAATGACAAGGAGGACGAGGAGGGAAGATGAACAGGGAGTAGGGATCAGAAGGACAATAGGTAGGGGGAGGACGAGGAGGAGGAGACAGAAGCGAGGGGAGAGGGAGCCGGGGACGAGATGAGGAGCCAGGTGAGGGAAGTTGGGGGAGGGGGAGAAGGAGACTGTCCTCAGGACCGTTTTCGTACGACTCTCGTCACAGCCGCCCTGTAGGGAGGGAAATGTTACAGAATGAGCTTTTGGCAGGGAGGTCGAGGGGAGTGGAGGAGGAGGATGAACCTCAAGGGGAGGAAACGCAGTAGTTTGGGACTGGGGAACGGAATCGAAGCGAGACATCCACGATTATTCTGACATGTCGGCTGTTTCGATGTCCGGATGATCACATGACACCGGATTTTCGGGGATTATCGCGGGAGTAAAGCGAACGGACGCAAGCGTTGACGGTTCAATCGTTTCGGTCATACGCGCCGATGTTTTGAGGTTGGTATTGCCCAAATTGCGCGTCGTCAGGACGGCTCTTTTTCTTCGCACGTGGGGTTTGGTCACATCGGTTCGATGATGCAATCGATTCTGCCGAATCGTGAGGGAGGGCAGCCTTCGAACAGACATGTAGGAGATGAAGAATGAGGGCCGAATGGGTTGAGTGCCACACGAGGTGTTGCGACAGTGTAGGAAGCTGAGCGGAGAAACCCTTGATGCCCCCCCCAGGCCTTTCTTGACCGAAGGGCCACTATGCTACCCACGAAGAGCATGGGCTGTCCAGGGAACGGCCCCTAGTAGGAGGGCTCCGAGAACGGAACCAATGGCCACCAGAAGGATCTCCTCGATAACACTGAACGATTGCGTGCTGCTTTGTGCTCGGCAGAAGGAGGAGGACCGCGCGACCCGATGTCTTCAAACATTGACCACGCTGTAAACCAGTGTCACGACCAGAACCTTCGAACCCATGCGTTCGCCTGTTTTGTCGAGCCAGATTGATGCGTGATGGTCACAAGGCCCGGCATGTGCAAACATATCCGTCGTGTGTTTGTTTGCTACGTCGGCTGCATAGGGAGAACGAGGACATGAGTCGGGGCTTCGTTTAGTTTCTAGCTTCGAGGATACAGCCTATTTCGTCGTTCTTGTTCCGAGTCCTTTTGGGGTCTCCCGAGGCATCCAGGGAAGGGAAGGGCGGGGGAACGACAGGGAGGAGGATAGGGGGAGTGGGAGGAGTGGGAGGAACAGGATAAGAGGGGGAGCGGGAGGATGAGAGGGGAGCATAGGTGGACAAGAGGGCGAGCAGCAGGGAGAACAATGAGGGGGGGAAGAGGAGAAGGAGGAGGAGGACGAGGAGGAGGAGGAAGTCGATGAGAGGGAGGATTGGGGCATAGCAGGAGGACGTGGACGAGCGAGGGCGAGAGAGGGGTCTTCTCCGTGCGCCCCCTCCCTCCTTCCTGCACGGGGAGGGCCCTGGAGGACGGGGAGGCCCCCAGAGGAGGCACGGAGGGGAGAAAAGATATCAGACAAGGTCGTACAGTGGGGGCCCACGTCAAGAAACACCTTGCTTGCCTCCAGGGTGCCATGGGTTTCTTGGGTTTCGATGGTTTTGCTGTGGAAGGCATGACGTTCCCACGCTAAAAATCAATGGCAGCCCTGGGGTCTCCAGGTTGGGTTTCTTGTGGAAGGTTCCTTGTGGACTGGCCTCCACTGTACCGCGAACTTCCTCGTCATCCCCTGCCAATCTTTTGTGGGGACCGAGGGCCCCCGCTGGCAGGAACCACATCCCCAAGCAGGTGATGCAGGCACTGAAAGAGGAGCCCCAGTCCGCCCCGACTCCCCCCTGTCAGTTGGATGAGGGGGGAGGAATGCGGTGGGAGGAAGGAGGAGGAGGGATGAAGGAGGAGTGAGGAAGGAGGGGGGGAAATACGGATGACAAAGGAGGAGTCGAGCAGGGAGGAAGAGGAAAGGGGGAGGGGTGAGGAGGGAGGAATCGCTAAGGGAGGATGAAGAGGATGGTCAGGAGGAAGGATGAGGAGCACCTCAGACTGACTGATCGCCCCTGTCCGCAGCTCTTCCTTTCTTAGGCAGGCGGGAAGGCGAATGAATGCATTTATAGCACTCACACCAGGCGGGCAATACAGATGCCTCGAGCTGGGCTAGCACGGCCGAAAGCAGGCAGGCGGCCAAACGTGCACAGTAATAACTAACCGCCCGCGATCCACGAAGTCGCCAGGGATCGCAGGCCAGTTCCAATGCAGCTGGCCCAGCACGCTGTCGACCCAGCTCGACACATTGGTGAGCATGTCGATGAACTGTTCTCCATACTGACAGTCTGTGGTGGGCGGGGCCGAGAGCGCCAGGACGTGGCGCTGCAGGCCCTGGCACGGGCGGGCAGCGCGCGCTCGACGCCCGACGCTGCAGGCACGCTGCTGCACGCGAGAGGGGGAACGACGCACCTGGCGCAGAGATCGGCCCGCTCGCGCCCTCCTCCGAGCAGGCTCTCGGCACCCGCCCCGCTGCCCCATGGATCACCGCCCACCAAACCACCCCAACCCAACCCGAAGGCCCCAATTTGCCCTCCATTTCCGGTTGGGGGGGGTCGGGGAACGTTGGGAAAACACACATGGAGCCCGTACCCCCCCCAACCCGAAATTCGGGTCTTCGGGTTGGGTTGGGGTGGTTTGGTAGGTAGTCAATGGAACCTTTGGTCCTGCGTGGCCGTCGGCGAACGCCGAGAAGAGCACGCAGGGGGCGGCGAGGAGAGGGCCCGAGCCTCCCGCCAGGAATGCTGGACCGGGCGGCCCGACCCCGCAGAGCCACGGCCACCTCGTCGGCTTCGCCGCGCCCTCGCGGGGCCCCCGCTCCGGGGTCGACACGACGGCCGTCGCAGCAGGCAGTGCATGCCCGCTGCCAGAGCCAGACCAGCGCCGTCCAATCGGGAGCCTCGAGACGGGGGTCAGTGC